TCCATCCCTTTATATTTGAAATTGTTCGTGTAGAAAATCACTTTATATAGTTGATGAACAATTATATCATTTCATAGGAAACCTTTTAAGTTCTTTATGTCTTTACAAGATAACGATTATTTATAACATTTTAAGAATTAAGTAAATTTGAATATCCTAATTATTTAATTTCAAAAATGAAAATTAAACAATTATTTTATTGTTCATCAAATTTAAGTCCAAATATCCATATATGACTTTAAATATTCATTAAATTGTATTTGGATGAAGAATTTGAAGGAAAATTATCATTTCAATCGATGTTTTCAAAATTCTAATAACAAATTGACTTATTTGGCAATTTAAAATGAAGAATTTGAAAATTTAAAGAAAATTTTTAGTGGATTTGAAAAACAATCTATTCAGATGAATTTGAAAGGGTTAAGAAACCAAACATTATTATTTTCTTTAACTCTAACGTAAAAACTTACTTTAAAATTTATTTTTTATTTTTTATATTAATAATATCAATACATTTTACTAATCTAATAATACTTATATTACAATATTACGTATTTTTTATATTTTTCTTTTTTCTATCATAATATCATTATTTTTTATAATTATTTTCATCACATCAATTTCAATAAAATTTTTTTTTAAAAATTTTTATCTAAATAATACAACTATAAAAATAATTATTTTAAATTGACAAATTTTAAAATGCTTCATTTCAAACTTTTTCATCTAAATGCATTCTTAAAAAACCATAGCAGGTCCACAAGCATGCCCATGTCACTTGTCCTAGTCCACCAGTTGATTAAATGTAGTATAAATACACCCGGTAAAAGAAACTTGTTTAATAATTCGAATTTTAGTTTCTCACCGACATCTATAAACAATCAACACTGACATTATACAATAAAGAAAATTTATTTCTAATCGTATTATTATTCTCATCCTCTCATCTAACGTTCTATCTTAAGATTATATCTTAAAGTCTAAGACTGGAGTCGTTCTTTGGAAATATTTGTCAATTACACATATCTTATCACGACCATTCATAAATTGAATAATTATGAAAATTTGTGTAATAATGTAAAATTAAGGAGCTTGGCAAAAAAAAAAAAAAACTGTAATATTCGTGGGAAAACATAATGACAATTTTGGAGGGGCTTGGTTCATTAATTGTTTCAGAAAGAATATTTTGCTTTGGTCGAAAAAATAGAAAGGTGCTTTAGAGTCGTAGATTTCTTTACCTTTTTGTTTTCTTCTGATGATTTTGCCAAAGCATATCTCAACTCTCGATATTGCCAAAATCTACTTCCAGTTTTTTCTTTTTTTTTTTTTTTTTGGAAAAAGAGCGAAGGATCGTTTACACCGCACAGATTCTAGACCAAACAACACCTAACAAGTTTTCTTGCAGCAATCTACATAAAGGCAATGGAGGGGAGAATTAATTCTGGTTTTTTTTTTTTTTTTGTTACAATATGGCACTTTGCTAAATGTGGAGCTTTATGAAAACACTACGGTATTCTCAGAAAAAATTAAATATTTAAAGTTGTTGAACAATTAAAGAATGGTGAACTAATAAGTGGAAGATGTTTAAATAAAAAAATTTATTTCAAATGCACTAATGATACTCGATAAGATTTATATTATGATGTGCTTGAAAATATGAGTAAAAAATTTTTTAATTTTGAATAAAAAATTGAAGCTCAAGTGTCAAGTGTTAATGCAATAGATTCAATTTTTTAGTTTTGTTTTTAATCTACACTTGATGAGAATTGTACTAAAAATTAATTACACACGAATTGTTAAAAGCATTGAAGAAATCAAAATATTATTAATGAATTAGTTGAAATATCCAAACAACATCTATAAAAGATAAAAGATTATAGAAGGGATTCTTTACTAATCGAAGTTTGTTTATTTTGTGAAAAATATTATATTGCTGACTTATTTTGTGTTGTCATATATAGATAATTTCAAAAGCTCATCAATTGTTTCATTAAAATTAAACATTGAGTTACCTCTTCTATGATCTGCCCCAATCTAAGTCGCTCATTTTTACCTTTTAACAAATAAAATAGTTTTTTTTTTTTTTTTAACTAAATTTGCTTTGATCTTGTCGGTTGTGACGACAAGTGTTAAAAGATTTTTTTCAACAATGAGAATAGAGAAAAACAAGCAATGAAATCGAATGAGAGATAATTTGATAAATTATTAATTGATTACATATATTGAAAATATGTATTTGGCTAACAGTCCCATGGATGATTGGTAGAATGATAAATTAGGGTTCAAATCCTAAGATCTTTAAATAAATAAATATATATATGAGCCAAAAAATTACACAATTGTTTCAAAATACGAAAACTCATCATGGATAATTTTAAAAACAATATCTTTACATTTTTTTTATTTGGAATTTTTAATAACATTACTATTTTTTAAAGATTACATAAGAAAAACTTTACATTTAGGTATTGTTTAGTATCATATTCAAAATTATCGTAGTAATTTAATCATCATGGTAATCAGATCACTAAAATAATTAAATCACCAATAATCTTAGATTAATATATTTTATTTATTGAATCACAATTTATAAAATAGTTACATATTATTTTATAGAAAACTATAAAATATAAATTAATTTTGATTAAAATAATTTCTAAAAAATTTACCAAATAAATCATTATATTTTTAATCGATAAATATTTATTCAATTATAATAAAAAAACTTTTTTTTCACAAATATTTACAATATTTTTTTTATTTGAAAATTTTTACTGGCTAGTTTTTGGAATAATGTTATAATATTTTTTGACAGAGTAAATTAATTAAAAATTATTAAAAATTATTTTCTTACAGTTATAAAACTTTTTTATCCTTTAAAATTGAAATTATATTACTTCCCAAGATAAATATTTCATTACTCCAAAAATTTAAAATTATTATCACATAAAAATTTTAAATTACTACCGCACAAAATAAAATAATTACATAATGTAGATCATTATAACTTTTATACTAATCAATTCATACCAAGCACCCTCTCAATGTAACGAGGTAAACCAAAATTTATGAATTGATTGATATGAATTGTCTACGTCAGGTGTGAAATCATAGCCGATATTTTCTGAAGACAATAAGAATTGACGGTCGGGTGACAGTCAATCAATGCATATAAGAAAGAGTTAAAAGGGCGCAGGGATCAGAAAGGCAGAGAAAGGCTAACGCCATTAATAATACGTTAATAGAACAAAATTTGCGGTGGAAAACTTTAACAAAGTCCAATCCAACTGTTGTTGAAAAGAAAATTGCTTATCCTACGTACGTACGGAATGAAAGCAGAGGAATGGGTACTTCGCTTCACAACAAAGCATGCAGATAAGTTTCTGCTCCAACTTATAACCCGTGAGTCATCATCCCCTTTCAGAAGTAATCAGTTGATCACGACTCTAAAAGCAACAGCCAACTTCTTTACTTGGGATTTGGAACTTTCAACCTCCTAAAACATAAACTATTTCGTGCCATTCAACTGTGTCTTTTTCCTGCTCTTCCAAGAAAACCACAATATAAAATTTTAAAGATGCAAAAGTACAATGCATTTAGTGGAATGAAAACAAAGTCCCTTTAATTGTTTCAAACAACAGTGACATGACGAGAAATACGACATTAATTGCATGTGGCAAGCATTTCTCAGTTGTTGAACATCGGCCAAGAATGGGACATATGGCTTAGATTTCCTATTCCATTTTGACTGGCGGTAACCTAAGTGCAGTGCAAGACATCGACCCTTGGTGAGAACGACAACATGACAAGACAAGACCAGAGCCAAATAAATTCCTATGAGTTATGTCTAAAATATGAATGGAATTTCATTTAAGCAAGCAAAGCGCATCCAAGGAGTAAGGATTAGTATTAATATTGAACTGTTGATGTCCGATTCCAAATCGGCTTTGTTTGTTGATAGAAAGACCTACTTGATGAAGACAGCCAGGAGGCATCGGAATCGCTACTACAGGACGTCCTCCGCATATAAGTCATTATCCACGAGAATTTATCGGTGATAACGCTAATTTTATAAAGTTATTATGGTAATTAATTGCAGATTTTTGTTTAATTCTTAGCTAATTAATTCAATTATCCTCTTTAATTTATTTAATTTTTTCATGTTGTAGGTGAATTAGAGGGAAAAAAAAAAAGAAATAAAATGAATTTGAAAGCAATTTTAGAGGCAAAAAACTAAATTTAAGCTTCAAAAATTTCACACAAGATCTAGCTACATAATTAGAGGGCTGAACTTTAAAACACAGCAATTAGAGGGGCTGTAGCCTCATAATTATGGTATAATTAGAAGAACAGCTGCTGCTCCTTTCTTTTTTTTCTATAAAAACACAGTAGCAGTTTGTTTTGAAACATTTTGTGAACAAAATATCAAATCTTAGCAGTTTTATACTATATATTTAGTCAAAATTTCCAAGATCATATTTTTATTTTTCTATAGAAACGCAGTAGCATTTTATTAATCGGATTCATAAAATAAGGAGAGATAATATCTCATATATAGAAAAAAAAAAAAAAAAAAGACAATAAAGAGGCATCAGATATCTCATATATAGAAAGAGAGATCAAAGTAAATGAAAAAATAAAAGAAGGTGAAGAGAATGAATATGATATCTTCGTAACTCACTCCGTAACTTCCTTGTCAAATATTAGCAACTTTAACCAATTCTTCTCGTTTTTGAAAAATGCAAAATGCTAAAACAACACAATAAATTTGACTAGAGATATCAATATATATATAATCAATGAAGTTGATAATACATTGTTTTTGTCGCCCATTTTATGAAATAATTGTTTTCATACATTTTTACATTTATTTGAAGTTTTGAGCTCAAGTTGAATTTTAAATTTTAAATTTTAAATCAAATTTAAATTTAAATTTAATATTGTATCGACTCGAACCTTCGATCAATTATACTTAGTAATCAAAATCACAGACCAGCACATAAATCTTATTGATTTTAATGGGCTAATTTATAGAGCTTCAAAAGTAACTTGAAAGAAACTCCTTCGCTTATCAAATGTTGCATTACCAACCATCAAACCTCTTATAGCGTGATTCCTCATTTTTTCTTTTTAATAAAAAAAAAAATCAGAAAAGAAAAGCTAAACTGAGATAGTCAGATCACTAGTGGTCCTTGCTGTTTATCCTAAGATTTGTCAGTTTACGTTTATCAAGAGGACATCGAGCTACAAGTGAAGGTTTCTGGGTTTGTAATTCACAAGACAAAATCATTGAGGCTACCATATCAACTCGGGTTTTGTTGTAGACAAAATGAACAATATCAAGACTGGACTCCTACACTAATGCAATTCTTTTTGTTATGGCTACCGAATTGTGTTAAAGCTATAGGTTTCATAATTGTTAGAATTTAGAAGCAATTCAAATAATTCACCATCTGAATTACGTTTGCTTTCAAAGGAACATCTATCTTTTGATCAGTCTCAAGCCTCATCTACCACTGTAAAAATTACACGTTCAGTAGCTGAATAATGATAGAAGTAAAACAAATGCCAACGATCAAGATTTCCATAATAACTCACTCCGTGACTGTAACTGGACAAGGTCAAAATGATCTTTAACTGCTCATCTTATGCAGATAAGGCCAACGGATTCAACTGTCACTGTTAATTTTTTGGTCTCTCATGTACAACTTTATCAGCATGACGACTAGTGAGTATGCATGCCCATCAAATCATCTAGCTACATGAAAACATTGACATTTATGCCAGTGACATAAAAATAAACAAAAACCAGACCAAAAGCATTCAGAAAGGAAAGACTATTCACCATAGATTAGGAGTTATCCATAATGTATTTCAACGAACTTGATCATTGGATGCTCTTAAGCAAATGCTCCACCATAATTATCTGCTGTGCTCCACTTAGAGATTCTGAGTTCATGATTGCATTAGCAACAACTACAATGGTATCTGGAGAGGCAGCATTCACCTACAATACAGTAAGGATTTTTAAGGAGTAGTGATAGTGTTACAAAAATTTTAGAATAAAAGTTTAACTTGTATTTAGAAAACAAAAATCAGTTAATGAAAAGATGTCTAAATTGAGTTTTTCAGGTGGCACAATAATAGAAAGAAACTGTTAACATTTTAAAACTCGAAAGATACAGCTTAACCAACTAACAAAAATTACTGCCTCCAAAATCATACCCAAACCCGGCCATTCAAGCCAACAGCTATTTCAAAGGATAGTTTCTTGCCAAGAGCCTCAAGAACCGGACATGTTGGTGAACTTAACAGCCTGTAAAGCAAAAGGGGAAACGATGACCAAGAAAATTATTTCATCCAAATGAAAAGTTTAAAAGCTACCTAGATGCCTTTAAGAGAAAGAGAGTCAAGATGGCAACTGATAAAAGTAGAAAGTTAAGTATCTCAAATGAATAAAGGGCGACTCACTTTCTTGATAGGCCAGTTGAAGTTTCAAACATGTATCCATCTTTGAGGGGCCCAAATTCAGCTGCTTTTCCACCGGCTATACATAACAAAGACATTAAAGGCAATGTACAACAAAACTAAGACATTTACAAGGAAAAGATGCATTGGTTATGACAAATATAAGGCATGTTAAAAGACATTAAAGATACGCGCATACAAAACTAAGACATTTACAAGGAAAAGATGCATTTGCTATGACAAATATAAGGCATGTTAAAAGACATTAAAGATACGCGCATACAAAACTAAGACATTTACAAGGGAAAGATGCATTTGTTATGACAAATATAAGGCATGTTATTAACTAACCATCAGTGCAGGACAATTCAGGGTTCATGCCAAAGTTTGCCTTAACAACCCGAAGATAAAGAAGAGTACCAACCTGTAACAATACAAAAAGAAGCAGAGCTGAAACAAGATATCACATTAATAATTGAAAACACACGCACAAAAAATTCATAAAACAATCCATTTCTAATTTGTAACATCAAATTTTGCAAGAATTTATCCTTTGGGTTTCCAACAAAAGCTTCCTTCATTAATCTCAAAACATTGTCTGTGAGTGTGCATAACACTTTTGGAAACGGTGGAATGTTAATGTCTAAGAAGATAACAAAAAGTCTGCATTGGAGCATTGCCGTACAGAGAAAGGAAATTCAGTTGAAATATGATACTTGCATAAATACACTCTGCAATACTCCGAATTTTGCCATCTAAAACTTTAATAAGGTTACACAGACATCAATAAATTAGTGATGTTATGCATGATTCTGGAAGGTCCAAGGTTCAAACAAGATAAATGGGCTTGCAGCCTCCTAGCAAGCCATGAGTTACTATGGCAAGGCAAACTTTAATAAGGTGTAAATACTTTCCATCTAGCAAGGAAAGTTTCCTCAGCAAATAATGTACCTCTCCCAAGGTACAATCCAATCAATCGCATTGAAAAATGCGATTGAATTATGAAAAGTGATTCAGAACATGAGTTACTATGGCATAGGCACATCTAGATGAAATACAATAGCTTTGTAATAATTAATGAAACATGACCTGAAAGTATTCAGACCTCAAACTTTGGTATATTCCTTCTGGTCCCGCCTTCAAATGCAAGCACAGGCAGAAAGCCCACTGCAGGTCCTTTGACGTCAATAAGAAAATTCTGGAGGGAGAAAAGGCAAAATAAAATAAGGAACAAGAAAACGTAGTTTACAGTTCAGAAAAATAGGTTTACCCTCTGAAATTATGAAATACAAGGAAATGGATCTGTATATAAGCAACTCACATCAACATATGGATCATTACAACTAGAGAGGACATGGTAGACGACCAGATTCAAACAAGGTACAATATATAATTAGTTTTAAAGCAATAAATGTTTTCCTGTGTTAGTTACTTCAAGTTGAAGAATATAACAGAGGATGCGTCAAATAATTTCATCCACCTAATTTCATTCTTTCTCCTTTCATCATGAAACCCAAACAAGTTTCACTATACAAGGTGACTCTGACAGCGGCAAAGCTGCAGCAGTTGCCTTGATAGCATGGCACCATGCTGCAGGAGTTGCACCAGTGGTCAAATTCTCTCTTCATCATAAAATAGGAAATAGATTCCTGTTTAATTAAATATGTCCATTGAGGTGAGAAATGCAAGCCTGGTTACATGAAAGAAAATCAGATTATTGCTACCAAAATCAGAAAATAAAAGCCAACCTAGCACTTAGTCACAGAAAATTATGAGATACACAGGAAAGCATTTTGTGCAAAGTCACAGTTATTAGATGAAAATCTTCATAAGAACTTGCCAATGAATAACTCGTGCTTCTCCTTAAGTATAGTCTCTAAACTTTCTGGTTTCAATAGGCATCAGAAATTTGGGCAATTTTCCTCCTCTCTAGTTCACTTATCAAGTGAGCATGGATAATTCAGATAGCCACTTGAGAGAAGCATAGCCAGATTGTTAGGCAGTAATACATCTTCAAACCAATAGCATGAGGAATTGAAATTTGAATCAATTTTTATCACATTAAATCAAATTTTATATGTCCTCCCTATTTCATTGTTTACCATACCAAATACTCCATTTTCAGCTAAGAACCTCAACTAACCGCATTAAGCCTTTTCTGATTGAATCAACAGTTTGCTCATGGTGCAAGACAAGCACACATATAATGGGCTTTTGCCATCTTTGTCACTCCATGCACATCCTTCTATTGAAGTTGAGATGCAGAAGGATAAGAAGGCAATTATACAATAGAAACCAAATTTGACAAAGTACAAAAGCAGTATCTAATGTGGAGATTTACTGCTTTTCTGAAAACTGATGAAACACTACTAAATTCTACTGAAAAACATTTATTCCTTCTTCATTCTCATAAAATCTCATCTGTCAAAATTTTCATATTAAATCTGTGGAATTCCAATATGATCATTGTGAATAAGCTTGTATCAATTGTACATCAACACTTCTCTATGATCATATCATACTATCTTCTTTTGCTTTTCACTATTCCATTGAAGAGAATAGACAGACAATTATAATAAGGCACTATTAACATAGCTGGACTTTCATTTTTCCCTTGTCCTGCATGCAAAGACAGTTGCTTCCTCTCTTTTTGTGAGCCTTATCACAGAACAGTGTCATCTTTCACTCTTCATCGAGAGAAGGAAAAAAAAACACTCTTAACTCTCAATTTCCTTGCATAATCTATTTCACCCTCTCAAATACTCCATAAGTAAAGAACCAAATTGATTTCACTCTCTTGAGACACCCATCAGAATAGAATGCAAACACAAATATTTCATATAATACAAAAGACAAAAGTGAATGCTGAACTATTTCAAGTGTAGCTCACAACCAAATAAGGACTTACATCTGCTTTAGAGTCCACCACAATACCAAGAACAGTATCTTCCACGCAAGGCACATACTGTTTAAAGAAATAGCCATATTACAACTCTATGATGTTGAAAAGAAAGGGCGCACAGTAATCAAAAGCTTTGTACTAACATCAATCAATAATGCAGCATTCACTCATTTTTCTAATAATTAAGGAATTAATAAGTATGAAACTGACCCTTTTCTGAGAATAATAAGTATGAAACTGACCCTTTTCTGAGAACTTTCAACCCAGTATTTATTTGGTTTCGAGAACCTAAGTGTTCCGGCCTTCATCGCAGAAATAGCATCACAATCCTAGGAAAAATGAAAATCCACCACTTCTCATTAACATTCACTAAAGAAACGTTTTAAAGCCCAAATAAAAAAGATACAGATAGAAAGAGATAGAGAAACAGACAGACCTGACGGAGACCGCCTCCTAGCTTGACGGTCTGGTTGGTCATGGAGGAGAGGTCGAGCACCACATCCCCTGGAACCTAAACGCGCCTCAAAAACAAAACAGCGGTTTGTGTTCATACATACACACATACATATCTATATATATAAGAATAAAATCAACGAGAATTAAAAAAATAATTCAAAATCGAAAGAGAGGCAAATTAAAAAAAAAAATTTACAGAAAAAGATTACTTACCACTGTCGAATCAATGAAGCTTGCCGGCGAATTGGATTGCTTCTGTTCCATTGAAAATCCAAATTATTCTTTCTCTTTTTCTAGTTCGAAGCTGCCGCTACTGCCAAACGTGCGGAATTGGAAGGAGTTCTTCTTATGACCTCCGGATTTCGGCTTGGAGAGTGAAGCTCAGCGTGAAAGAAACCCCCTTTATGAGATACTTTAAAACGCAGCGTTTTGTACCTGCCAGCAAAAAAGGTGAACTCGAAATACGGGGTTTTACTTTAGTTTGGGACTGAACTAGTTTCGATTTTGACGTCTCTTCTACGACTACGAGTAAAGTAGGCTGAAATGGAAGGTATGAAAGTATTCAATCACCATTCATTTCACCTACAGAGTCACTCTAATGATCAACAAAAGCTTCAATTGTTTTCTACGGTACCTCTTTATTCCAGAAACGTTTCTTTTATCAAAAAACCATCTTCAATTTCTAGCAATTCTCAAACTCTATTCACTTCTCTCAATTTCCTTGAAACCCCATCTCAGAAACCACAAAACAAAAGTGGGTTTTTAAGGAATAAGCTTATTACGGAGTTTACAGTACATGGATTGTTCGAAGATGCTATAAGGGTTTATGTTAGAATGCTTCAAAATGGTTTTCAAGTTCAAGATTTTAAGTTCTTTCCTTGTTTGATTAAAGCATTCGGGGGACTTTCTGATGTTAAAAGAGGCAGGCAAATCCATGGGCATGTATTAAAGTCAGGATTTTTAGCTGATATTTATGTTGTGAATGCGCTTTTGGGAATGTACTTTAAATGTGGGGAAATTAAGGATGCAGTTCAAATGTTTGATAAAATGAGTGAAAGAGATTTGGTTTCATGGAATTCCATGATATCGGGGTTCTATCAATCAGAGGATTACTTGGATTCGTTGATGATCTTTAGTTTGATGGTTAAGGAACATGGGGTGTTCCCAAATCGGGTAGGTTGTCTCTCTGCTCTCTCATCATGTGCTTCAACTGAGTCATGGATTCTTGGTAGAGAAATTCATGGATTTGTTGTGAAAAATGGATTGGAAAGTGATGAGTTTTTGGTTAGTGGATTGATTGAAATGTACATGAAATGTGGAGATCTAAGAAATGCTGAACATGTTTTCAGGAGTATAGTTAATAAAGAATTAGTGAGAATAAATACTGTGATTTGGAATGTGATGATAACGGGGTATGTTTCTAACGAGTGTTTGTATAAGGCTCAGGAATTATTTGTTGAGATGTTGGAGTTAGGAATTAAACCTGATTCTTCAACAATGGTGGCTGCTTTAGTTTTGTGCTCACGGTTACCTGATTTAAGTGTAGGAAAACAAATCCACGGATTGATACTTGCATTTGGATTAGAAAATGACACCAGAATTCAAACTGCTCTTATAGAGATGTACTTCAAATGTTGTCGTCCTGAATCTGGTTTGAAAATCTTCAGAAGATCTCATAATGATAACTTGGTAATGTGGGGAGCAGTTATATCAAATTCTACTCAGAATGATTGCCCCTTTGGGGCAGTGGAATTGTTCTGTATCTTTATGTTAAAGCATGGCTTCCCTGATTCTCTGATGCTTTTGGCTGTGTTGCGGGCATGCTCATCCTTGGCTCTCAAGTCTAAAGGCATGGAAATCCATTGTTTAGCTGTTAAAACAGGATACATTTCTGATTTTTATGTTGGTAGTGCTCTAGTTGATATGTATGGAAAATGTGGAGATATTGAGTCTGCTCAAAATGTTTTTTCCAGGTTACACTGCAAGGATTTGGTCTCATGGAATGCCCTAATATGTGGATATTCTCAGAATGAGTGGGCTGATGAAGCTTTAGCAGCATTTCGTGATATGCAGTGTGAAGGTCTTAGACCCAATACTGTAACAATTGCATGTATTCTCTCTATTTGTGCTCACTTGTCAGTTAGGGTTCTGTGTAAGCAGGTTCATTGTTTCTTAATACAGCAAGGCTGGAAGTACAATGTTCTTGTGAGCAATTCTCTAATTGCTGCTTATGCCAAATGTGGAGACGTCAATAGCTCATGGATTATATTTGAGAATATGCATGAAAGAAATCAAGTATCCTGGAATACAGTAATATCTGCCTTAGGAATGCATGGCCACACGGACAAAATGTTTGTTTCCTTTGAAAGCATGAAACAAGCAGGCATGAAGCCTGACTATGTAACTTTTACAGCCCTTCTTTCTGCTTGCAGCCATGCTGGGAGGGTTGATATGGGATATAAATTTTTTCAAAGCATGGTTGAAGAATACAAACTTCAGCCTCAAGTTGAGCATTACACTTGTATGGTTGATCTCCTAGGACGAGCTGGCCACCTCAACCAGGCATATGATCTGATCATGGCCATGCCTTGTGACCCTGATGATCGTATCTGGGGTTCACTTCTTGGATCTTGCAGAAGTCACGGTGATGAAAAGCTGGCTAAGGTTGTGGCCAATCACATATTCAAACTTGATGCCACAGGTACTGGTTATCGTGTCCTCCTTGCAAATCTTTTTGATGATTTGGGGAAACCAAGTGAAGTTGTTAAGATTAGATCAGAAATTAAAGACATGGGGCTTAAAAAACAGCCTGGATGTAGTTGGATTGAAGTTGATAATAACATTCATATCTTTGTTGCGGGTGATTGTTCACACCATCAATCTGAAGAGATATATGCTGTGATAGAGAGTTTAACACTAGAACTAAAAAGGGCAGGATATATTCCCCATTTTCCCTTAAGAAGTCTAGCGCTTGATAACACCGATTTTTAATGTCTCTTTGTTAAGAATGACATGGTGTGGCATAATTGGGTGTGAACATGTTCATAGCAAATTTTACCGGAACATTCAAAAATACTTGTAAATCTAATGGTAGGTTTCTTGTGCTGTCATTGGTGGCTATTTGCTTTCTGCCTTTAGAGGGATTCAGATATGAGACTAGGGACTGTAAAAAGAATTGTTGCCTATTTGGAGGCATTATTGAGCTCTTGCATGCCCTTCTCTATGTATCTTTGCTAGCGATTCTTTTTATCTTAGTGGATTTAAAGGTAAATTTTTGCTTGTTTGTTAACCCTTATTTTCTACATTTAGGTGTTCTGTTATTTTTCATCAGGATTATATTTTTACTTTTTCATACTATTCTATATCTGTTAAATTTTCTTTCTTAATGTATGCTGCTAGTGTAAAATTACTAATGCTGTGCTTATAGGGGCTACAAGATTAATTGTTTCTCAAAGCATTGTTTTGCAACTTGTAGGTTCCAAAATTTTCTGCTTGCTCCTTTGCTTCTTTGGTTAATAAATCGATCCTTTTAACTTTTGTTCATCGAGCTGATCATAAATCAACAGCGCAGAAGTTGATAGCTGCTCTGAGAGCATCCTTAAGAGTGTTTGACTGATATCAATCCCAGCACTATTGTATATCCTTTTACATTATCAAGCGTCTGAAACCACTTAGATCAACCAGAAGAAGCAGCAGTGACCCTTTGGTTGTTGCATATCCTTTACATTATCTAGTGTCTAACTGCAGTGGGTACTGGAATGTTTGTTGGGAGTATTCGCCTATCCCCTCTCCCCCATGTTTCTTTTGGTTGAGGGTCGGCTGGTTGGGTTGAGTTTGTGACCAGTGACCTTTCAGAAATGGCACACATACCAACCCTGGATCAGTTCCTCGCTAATTCGGCTACACAAAAGCAAGAAAACGCTGGACCTCCAGATGAACCAACTTTTGAAGGACTGGGAGAAAATGGAGCCTGTGTTCTTTTTGAGCATTAGGGTCAATACCTGATGATTGAGTGTTTTTTCAGTATTGAATAAACGAAAAAGCAAAAAGCAATTGTCCGGTCTGGAATCTTCTCCTCAGTTTCCCTATTATGATTAAATAAACCATGGAAGTTTACATCCTTGAATTTGTAAGAATCCAGATCAAATATACTTCAAATGAATTCTTCTATGTTTAAATTATCTTGAGATGACTGTTTGCGCACTCTCCTCTCGGTGAAATTTGTAGAGCTTATCATGACTTTATGTGGACCAGTAACCGAACACTTCAGTGGCTCCAGTCCTGTTCAGGTTACAACCAAACTGGGGAAAGTCATGAATTCAAGATAGCCTCAGCCTAGGTAGAAAGTAGAAACCTACGTTAACGTCAAACACTAGCCTCCTCTAAAGGCCCTAAATTTTTACGAACTTTCGAATAAAAATGCGTCATTATTACGGCAGCTCATTACAGAGATCTGATCAAAGAATCTTTATTTACACCACTCTAAGCAGATCCATACATGCTTCCTTCAGCAGCTTATAAATAAATATAAATAATATCACAAGACGATTAGAAAATAATTTAAAAACAACCTTTAATCAAATATAGAATCACAATAAATAATACAACCAAAACTCTACCAGATACTTATTTCACCCCACTGACCACCCATTATACCCATCCCCAAGCCAAGAATCTAGCAAAAAACCAGTAATTTTCATTTCTTCTCTTCTTTTTCATTCATTCTTAATCACTTTAATGGGCCCTATAAAACATCATCTTCATTCATAGATACATAAATTCATCCTTATCACACCTTAATTCCCTTACCTTTCAAATTATGAGGGTTGGCATCAAGAAGGGTTTCTAATGATCTGGCTTTTCCGCTCCGAACTCTTCCTGCTTCCTTTAATAGTTCAGCCAACCTTTTCTTCTCATCATAAACCTCTGGATTTGCCGTCCCAAGTTTTTCCTCTCTCATCTGAACAACATACTCCAGTATTTCAATTGCATCATCCAACCTGTGTTAACAGCATATATCACAACAATGACCACAGAAAAGAAAGAGCATTAGAATTCTGATTAGAATTCATCAGCTGCCAGAAATAAGTATAATGGTATTTGTTCAGTTGAATATTTTCTACATTCATCATACCTAACCCAAGTAAAGTCAGATCATTAATAACTTAAAATCAAAGAAGTATTATCCATATCTTTCCCTCTTATTTCTTTTAAAATGAAAATGGGGGAAGAGTGTGAGTGTCGTGGATTTTGACAATCATGTATGGACATAAGATTGAGAGGAAAGGACCAGAAGAATAGCAAAAGTTGCAAACCTGCCAATTGCATCATAAGTGCCTGCAAGATTACTGTATACACCAAGCGTATCAGGGTGGTGAGGTCCACACTCTTGCTCCAGAATACTCTTGGCTTCTTCAAACAACTCAACAGCCTCATTAATAGCGTAGCGTTGCACACAAGCCAGCCCCATTTGATTGAGAGCAATGCCAAAGAAGGCAGATTTCCTCTCTCCACATGCACGTAGCATTGAAATGGCACTTTTGAAGGAGTTGTAAGATTCTGAATAATTCCCCAACATGTAATACATTACTCCCATCTGGGCTTCAATTCCAGCTATTGTGCATTGCTGACCAGGGGCATCATTGTATATTTTTAAGGCCTTTTGTAGCAACTTGATTGCCTGGTCAAGGTCATTCATTGATTCATAAATAGCAGAAATATCTGTGAGGCCACTTGCAATCTCCTCTGGAGGGATCCCAGGCATAGGCTTTTCATAGATTCGGAGGGCATTCTCACAGTACGATTTTGATTCCCTTAATTTCCCTGTCCTGTTATACAAATCAGCCAACCGGAAAAAGACAGACCCAATAGCTGGATGATTCTCTCCTTTGGCTGTCTTAAAAGCTGTGAGTGCTTTCTGATAGGCAAAAACAGCCTCATCATATCGAGCCAAAGATAAGTATGTGTCTCCAATGCTGCAATCAACAGAAGCCACCTCTGCCTCCTGGCCATTTGCCACCATGGCCATACTGGCTAAAACAAGATGCTCCAAAGCAGCTTCATGGTCTCCCTTTGTTTCACATATGAGACCCATGAGCCTCCTATCTGCTGCCTCTTCAAGAGAAGCCGGTGAACCATTCTCTCTGTGAATGTCAAGTGCCATTTGGCATAGCCTCTGTGCTTCATCAAATTGCAATGCCTGCACATGAGCTTCAGCCAGATACCTGCAGGTTTCACCAACTCTGGGGTCTGATTCTCCAAGAACTTGTTTCTGGACTTCAAAACCAGTGCTGTAACAAGATATTGAGTTTTCAAGCTGTCCTAGCATTGCATAAGTGTCACCCAACTGCATATGACCAGCAAACTTAGCCAGAGCATGCTCTTGGCCTTCCTCAATCACTGGAATCTCAATTGATTGCTCAAGAGGAGGAATTGCCTCATTGTACTGGCCTAGGCTGCAATATATTGCCGCAGCGACATGCAAACACATGACCAGTTCTAAACTGGGTTTTCCATCGGCGCAAAATTCATATGATTTTGCTGCTCGAAGTGATAATTCAAGAGCTTTCTGGGGATTGTCTCCTGAAGAAACCAAATCCCTTGCTTGTTTGAGTAAAAATGGTCCGAGATCAGGATTACCTAACCCTGACTCGGAAGCATCCTCAGTTCCATTTTGTAGCTTTGACCCTTTCCCTTTCTTCATGGATAAGACTCCTGCAGTTGATTTCTTTGGAGTCTTATTGTTCCGCTTACCAATGGGAGGTTTCTCAGGTGGACTTTTTCCCTTAAGACTGGGTTTTGTTGATGCTTCAGAGTCCAATTCTGACTGAGACGCTTTCTTCACATCACCTGAAGAAATGGATTTTACACCTGCAGCTTGGGTCTTGTCCAACTGCCCTGACTTCTTACCGCTAGATGAGCTTCCCTTCTTAACAGAGGAATTACTACGAGTATCATCTTCTGGTTTATCCACCTCCTCCTCTTGCATTATTTCAACTTCCCTCATCTCTCCTCCAACAAGATGGTGCAATTCTGAATCAATCCTCGACTCTTCACCATATGATCCAAAGCTCTGCCTGGAGGGTGACTGATCAGAACTCTGCATATCACACACATTCTCATAAAGCTGCTCAATGGAGGTGTCAAACTGTGTCATCCCATTAATGGGGTGATCTGCACCATGAGGGCTTCGCAGACTTGACGTACTCTTAGTGGACTTGTTCAGACCTGAATTTTCCTTAAGATGTGCAGAACTCCCATTCACTTCATTCATCACTGCCTCTTCTTTAATTTCATCCATAATAAGACCGGGCATCGTTATGTACCAAAACCCAAAAAATTCCTAAACTTATCTGCACAAAAAAGTTTCAAACACAAACCAACCCTATCAAACAATTGAGACGCCAGATCCTAGCAGGAGAAAGCATAAAACTTTTACAACATATCCAATTTTACAGCAACCTACCAAAAAACAATACTAACTAAAAACAATATCAAACAACATCATAATAACATCAAAAGTTCGACCTTAAGTTTTAACTCATCATAACAACTTCTGATTGAAACTTGCTTCAATACCCAAAAAGCACATATAATAACAAGAGTCAATGCTCCTCAGTCAGATCTTCCAGAATCAAATCCGCCCAAATATTCAATAACTCATCAGCAAATAAAGAAAACTAATCATGCAAACCGATATAAATAAACAAGAAATAAAAAAATCCACAAATAATATTACAAAATATCAAGAAAATAATCGCAGTTGACCTGTTAGAAAAAAGGGAATAAAATGAAAAAATAAAGCCATGATAATACCTCAATAACACAGTCAAGAAAGAAGAAAAAACCAACAAACAAGGTGACATCTTTTCTGGGTTTTACATAATAAAGACAATTGTCAGGGGAGGGAAAAAGGGCTGTGTATACGCAGAGAAAAAATCTACCTTTTGGAGGCTTGGTATAAATAAAGCCGGAGCCTTGGAAAAGAGACAGAAGAGGGAAATATAGGGAAAGATAAAGGGCAAAAATGAAAAAATGAAGTTGCCAAGACAATATAAAAATGAGAGTGGGATTTGCAGGGTAAGAATGTCAGAAAGAAAAGGGAGAAGGTGACGTCTTCCCAAACCCAGATCCCGCGCGGCCTGCAACCGACGACCTGTTTACCGTCTGTTTTTTCAGTTTTCATGTGTACTTTCCACGTGGCAAATTGTGATGGTCCATGGACTTTTCAGTTGCCCGATAATGCCCTTCAGTCAAGTTGGTATATGAAAGCGGCTTTGACTTTTTCATTGGGTGGAATGTTAGCTTTTATACGGACAAAGTGTCACAGTCCTGAAGTTTACTTCCCTTCTCTTACACTTGAAATATACTCCCAGCAAACTTGCATCTCTTTCTTTCTTTCTTTTTTTTTCTTTTTTTTTAGGTTTAATTTTTTAAATTTTTTTTTTTTCACAGCTAAAATCTAATGCATTACTTTTTTTTTTTTTAAGTTTAATTTTACTGGTATTTTACTTTTTTTTTTCTTTTTTTCTTTAATTATTACAGAAAGCAAGACATGAAGCACTGTGCCACCAACTTTAAAAAGCAGATTTGGTTCTTTTCAGGATCTGCATTTAGTTCACCTCACTCAATTGTTATAGAAGAATTGTTTCGAAACATGACCTTTTTTTTTTTTCAACTTTGGGTCCTAGAGAACATGTAATAAATATATGCATTTGTCGGTGGAGCAAATTCAATGAACTTTCCTAGTGAAATATATAGTAATAACAATAATACTTAAAATTGTTTTATATTTTGATTAACTTTGATTCTTGATAGAATCATGATTAATTTCTTTTCAAATTCTTAGGATAGTATAGATATTAATAAAAAAAAAATTTATTGATTTGATTAGTCAAGCATTTGAAAGGGCATGCAAGAGTAGGTATAATAAAAATGTGATCTCATCTCATCATACCACAGAGGATGGCAGGATGACGAGAAACAAGATCTTAAATTCAAACAATCTCGAGTAGATAACCTGTTTAGTATGTCTATTTCAAAATGTTAATTTTTTTCACCCACTTTCTTTGGCTCCAATTTCTCCCCCATCCATTCAGGGGGAATGGTAGGGGCAGTCATCCAACACCCGCCTTCAAGCACCGGAAAATCTAAGAAGCCACGTCACTACACTTTTGCAACTCAAAATCGATTACCTGCCTCAGCTTTTGGGCGGTCATTTTTTTTTTTTATTTTCTCGTCTAGCTTATGATCACAGGACACCTGAAAATTTTGGCTTCACACAGCAGACTTTTAGATCATCATTACAAGTACTACAACATTCCTTTCGAGAATTTTAGATGCTAAAGCCTAAAACCAAATTGTGAAGTAAAGGTCAATTATAGGGGGGAAAAGGTGCAAAACCTTTTGAACAAGTAGTTGGGGTGAGAGAGTTAAAGATCGGAATGATGTGTGGTATCCAATGATCATGGGAGTGTGGGAGTACCTAAGAAAATTTTTTATATGATTAAAAAATTTTAGATATGTTATATGTTATTTTTAAAAATAATTATATTAATCAATTAAATTTAAATAAATAAATTTAAAATCATTTAAATTTAATTATCGGATCACATAGGGTTTGAACCCTCTTTTAGTCATCTCCATATGATCTTATGATATGATTTTGGCCACCCAAAATCTTACTTGTGACGATAAGACAGGGAATGTGAAGTAGCTGTCTCTTGATGCAGGCCAAGAATGATAGAGCACCAAATTCGGATTAGCTCAAATCATAATAAAAACAGAGACCTAACAACTCTCTTACAATTTATAAAATCACAACTGACAGCTGGCAATACTATAGATTTAAACACTTAATTATTATTCTTTTTATTTGTAGAAAGGAAAATGCGAATTCTGTTGTTTGAGCAGAAAATCACGCAAGGATCAACTTTTATGTACCATCCATAATGTAAGTTACAAACTTTTTATGTCGTGCATCTACATTATTAGATTAAAAATATGATCATATGAATGATCAACGCTGAAGCTTGAGGTCGGCAGAAAAACAAAAACGAAAAATCTCTATAATTTGACAGCTGTGAGATTTGAAGTTTGAACCCACGTCCTTTCGAACCAAATCTAAAACACACCTTTTCTTTACTGCTGTGAAAGCGGAAATTACGCATTCACAATAATTGATTCGGTGGTAGGGAAATTGCATTTCTGGTTGAACGAATTCATATTGTCGCATAAAATTTGAAGAAGGGAAATGCCGCAAATAAGCATAAAAATACCGATCAACGGAACTACTTCAGTTCCAATATATATATAAAGTTCAATTTATCGTCTGAACCTACCTGAACAAGTAAAGAATACGGTACACTTAGCATCACACATCATTTAAGAAGACATCTTAGGTTTAAAAGCAGCAGATCAATAATGTCCAGCAATACATTTTGGTAGGCATCTCAAAATAGTATGATCTGGAGAAGGCTTATAATTTGAAAAAAATTCCGGATCCTCTTCAAGGGACTCTGCATAACTTTCCAAAATCGAAACTATCTCATCAAACTGTGGTCGTTTGTCTGGATTGCTTGACCAGCATCGGTTGACGAGATGACTAAATGCAAGAGGACATGAGGAGGGTAGCAGCGGTCTAGCATTCTGCATAAAACCGAGCAGATATAAGATGAAGAAAATCATTTTACATATTATTATTTAAAACCTCATGAGAACAGAACACCAGTCGTCCAACAGTCCTGCCCATGCCCCTCTGAGAAAATTCAGGAATGAGTGATGTTTGTAGTCACTATACATGTTAGGTTAAACATGAAGTAATAGCAGCTCCAGATAAATAACAATAGAAGTTTATGCAGCTACTCTTATGCTGATGCTTAAGGGTTCTGTATTTTATTCTATGAAAGGCAGGATAGGAGCTCAAGATAAGATTTTATGCACAATTCTAAAAGCACTCTAAGTCGACAGCCTAACATAAATGGCAAGAAAGTATCACTCAAACACTAGAAAAACGTGTTTAATGTTGTCACCTGTAACCTGTAACAAACTGCATTGCATCATAGAGTCACAGGTTACAGCACAACCTGCCACCTATATTTTACTCCCTATAATTTATGGTGCTTAATTCCACAATTCTTATCAGCTTCCATATTTAGTGAATTATTTTCATTTAGATTTGAAAGTTTTTCACAATCTAAGACACTACATTACAAATTAATCAAAGTTAAAAAGAAAACCACTATGCTTAAATTATAAAAGCACTTGATTCAGACCAATGACACTCTAAATATTTAATCACTTGAAGGAGTAAATCAAGTGTCATCAAAATTATCTATGCTTTTTATTATGCCTAACACTTCTCTCTGTTATTAGCAACACCAATGCCGTGAAAATCAGGATTCAGGAAACACGGTTTGGAGAAAAGAGTGGAGGGAAAAGAGAACAATAAACAATGAGAAAATATGATAGGGTGCTATGATTGAGCAAATTATCTGCATTTATATATGCATATGTCATGCACTCACAATGAATCAGAAAAGATATACAAAGACCTTTATATCACAAATAGCTAATAGAGACTTGCAAAATTAGCATATAATATCCATGCATAGAATGCAGTCAACGCACCACTTACTGCAGACAAAATGGCACATTAAACCAAGCACAATACAGCCACCCATTAAGAGATTTGTTAAACCAAAGCATATTTACTCTATCGTATATTCAGCAACACAGAAAGTTTGCATCATTCCCATAGTTTGGGAGAATTACTATTACTATACTGCCTTTGTCATGGTGAATCCATCTCTATCTCACATGTTAACACCAGAAAATAAACTATTAACATTCAGCCCATCTTTACCAACAAAAAAGCAAAAGTACCCCTTTTGACATTGTTTAACTTGATTCTACTGAAATACTCATTTACAGCAAGCCTGCTGTCTAAGAAGTTTAAAAGGCCACAAGAAATTGCTGGTTATTAGGGGTTAAGAAGCTACGTTTAATAGGAAAAGAGACTGATGTAAATAAATCTGTGGTTGCAACAAAACCTTTTTTTTTTCTTTTCTTTAATTTTGATGAATAAGTGAGAAGGTGTTCCACTTACAGGTTAACACTCAAGAGGAGTATGCCAGCAATCAGGATAAAGATAGATTTGCCTCTTGCACTCACTTCATTACCAACTGAAAATTATTTTAGATGCTGCATCAATGCCTTCCATATTCTTTCACAATGATTAGTGCTACCATCTCCTAATTATAGGTTTAAAGGTCAATAATTAATTCATGCATAATATGGGCTAAAATCTTCACATGTATGGCTAATATCAGCCCAAAGCAATAAGAAAAAGGGTACACTGTCCTACAAACTATTTCCAAGTTCTCTATAGTCAAGTCATATCCTCTATCAAGTTGTGTGATTTCTTTGTAAACTTAAAAAGGTTTACAGACCTACTTATATTCATGGCACTTCATCCAACTTCAATCATATTTAAGCATCTAATATTTCTCAACTTCTCTTGCCTTGGCATCATGCCATGTCCTAATCATCATACTGGGTTTTATTATTTCATATCCTCATTTCATAATTAAGGGATATAAGGCTTAGTTTGTTGTTGCTGTTGTTGTATCCTCATTTCATAATTATTTTATTCCTAATTCCCAATAATCAGTTCCCCAAAGTTAAGTTTTTAATATGGCTTTATTAATAAGATTTTTCACATACTTCAAGAAGTTTGACACTACATCTGCATCATATATTATTCTACTCTATCTTAGCTTAAAAGAAAGAAACTATCTTCAAGTCTTTTTCCCCCAACCACATCATAAGAAGACAATTTTCAGACATTTAATTTTGTTAAGGTATCACCTAGCTAGAAAAGGTAAAATTTTTTAAGTAGAGAACAACATCAAATCAAATTCTCCTAAAGCATTACTTCAACATAATATTAGCATATTAGCACTTCCATTATGAGAAAAGGGAAAGGAAGATGGGCGGAATCTCATATGTGTAATACTAATAAGTTTCCGAGAATGCTCCCCAACTGTCTTCTTCATATGTGAGTTAGATAACTCCTCAATATAAATTAGATGAAGTCATCACCATCCAGCTTCCTATTTCCTATATAATTGATGAATCGGTATTAATCCATGACTTTAATAAAGAAAAAAAGAAAAGAGAGAGAGAGATATAAAGGAAAAAATAAAACAGCTAGCCATGGGCCAAAGGTAGAGAATCTTAATAACATGGAAGCTTCGTAACAAGAATGAGCAAGGTACTTTACCTTTTGGCAGACTGCAAATGCAGCTTGTTCTGGAGTCATGTTGTCAAATGGTGTCAGAGCTGTTAAAAGCTCCCAGAGGACTATACCAAAACTGTAAACATCAACTTTCTTTGTATGGTGTTTCTCTTTAATCATTTCAGGTGCCATCCAACGATATGTACCTGTAAATCCCTTTGCACTACCGCACTGAGATTCCAAGCACGAGATACCAAAATCTGCCACCTTCACACACATATCTTCTCCGAGGAGTAAATTTTCTGATTTGAGATCCCTGTGAAGTATTCCTTGTGAATGAAGGTACTGCATCCCACGTGCAATGTCAAGAGCTAGTTTTAGAACTAAGTTAAGTGGGACTGAATATGGCTCCTGCTGATGCAGGTACTTTTTTAATGAGCCACCAGCAAGATACTCAGTTATTATGCAGAACACAGGTGGCTTCTTACAGGCTGCAACGAACTGATTGGAGGATAAAGTAACAGCAATTAGTTAATTATTAAGAGAATGGAAGCACCAAGCTTTAAAATATTAAGACCAGCAGTTGCTTGTCATGCAGAAAAAGTTTAGGTTATTATACTGCAATTTATATATATGATTGCTGGCATGCTAATAGACAGTAAGAGGCATGAGCTTTGTAGGTTTAAGCTATTCAGACTTTCTCTTCATTCTTTTTCGGTTTTGAATATTTCATGATCCCCAAGGGAAAAAAGGAGAGGATGGGGGAATCCGTTCCTTGTCATACAAAAATGTTCAAGAATTTAACTTATTTTAACGCCATAATTCGGATGTTAACACCAAGAACATCAAAGATATAACATTTTGCATCTGAAAATTCCCTGAGGTGAGCGTTAGTAAGCCAGACTATGAAAAATAACTCTTTAGTGATAACAACTAATTGCTAGGACAGGAATCCGCAGCTGAATTTACCAAAATCTAAAGCCTATATGCAAGGGGGACAGAATTAATAACTACATCATAATTCATGACTGCGCCTCAAGTGATAAGCCTAAATATGTGGCAAGCACATTAGTTGTTCATTTCACTGCCTTTCGCCATTCCACCCAAAAAAAAAAAAAAAGCAAATAAAAATAAAATGAAAAAAATTTCTAACCTCCATAATCACAGTGGCTGACCTTTAGAGAATTCAAAGTTAGGCTAATATCTTGGGAACTGGTTTGCCTACATTAAAACAATCAATTTAAGATAATAAAAAACACCTCTGGGCCTTTCCCATCAGGCATCATCTCACTACTGGGACTTAATTATTCTATCTTATGGGCAAATCTGGTTCCCAAGCCAGACTTTGGCAAAAAATGACAAGGTTTTATCAAGGCTAGCAGCGGGCAAGTTGAAGGAATCCACATTGCATGGCCAAATCTGGTTCTGAAGCCAGACTTTGGCAAAAAAAGACAAGGTTATATCAAGGCTAGCAGTGGGCAAGTTGAAGGAATCCACATAGCAAGAGTAAGCGAATTCAATGCCACAGTAAGTTGCAACCCCCCCCTTCCCCCCCAATCAAGAGGAGTGAAAGAGTAAGAGTAATAAATATTGCACATGGGTAATATGTCACGGATAAGTAAGATAAACAAGGCTCAATTAATGACAACAGAAGTAGTTCAACAGCGCACCTCCCCCCTCACCTCCGCCCCCCCAAAAAAAAAAAAAAGGTTGCCAAATGGTAGGGAGAAGTGAAAAGGGTCACAAACTTGAACGAGAATAAGGCTACTTGAGCTGTATAGCCAAGTATTGGTATTGACCCATTTCAAAAGGCTAAATACATTTTAAGTTGGAATCTTATAAAGGGAAAATAAGCACATTCTTCCCTTGCAAAGAAAAGTAGTTTGATTCCCCCCAATTATTTTATAAGCTCGGTCTCATTCCTGCAAAGTTGCTTTCCTACCGGATGTCATGATCCATTAATTTTCAGCAATCTTTTTCACTAAACTTTAACATGATATAAAGTTATGAACATGATCACAATAAAAACGCAAAATCAAAAAGCATATCACTACGTTTCTTGATGTCACCAACATCGCATTCTCCTCCCACCCCATCCCCCAATCCCACACTCCAAAATAAAACATACATTATTCCAACATAAATGGAAAACCATGATCCCTTTCAGCAGAAACATAATGGCAAAACAATACCTAGGAAACATGTAAACTTACAGTAATAATATTGGGATGCCTCAAATGAAAAAGCAAAGCCACCTCAGAAATGAACTGCTTCTCAAGATAGTTAGCCAAATTCTCATCCTCCTCAGGCTGGCTTATAAGTTTAATCGCCACATCCCTCTGTTTATATATCCCTCTGTAAATCCTACTATGTCTACCTGAAGCAAACTTGTTGCCAATAAACAACTGTGACATGTCAGCACTCCATTCTTCTTCTCCTTCTCCTTTTATCTCAGCACCAGAGGAAACCAAATACTTGGACCAAGAAACTGCTCTTCTGTATTCTCCAAGTGAAAGCCTCCTCTCTGACCTAACATTGTTTGAGATTTGCTTAAACCAGTAAAAATTCTTCATGGGTTAGCACTAAAACTGAAAGAAAATTGTCAAATCAACCCAATGAAGAACTGAAAAGAAGAAAAAAAAGAAAGAAAGCACTGCCCAGATTTTGTGGCAAAAAATGTTTGTTTTAAACGTGAGCCCAATGCTTGAAGTTTTGAACTTGGAAATTGAATGAAGGTTTCACATCTAGCTACATTTCGAAAATGCTAAAATTTATGGGTTATGATTATGAAAACATATCTGCTAGTATCTCTATAATTCAAACTACAAGCGTCATAATTGGAATTAAACCCTTGTATTTTGAAACAGAAAAACTCGACGAAAGTAAAACAAAAACAGAAGTATTGTAGCTCAAAAATGAAGCTTTTTCCTGTCTTCGTTTTCCTAAGATGATAAAGCAACCCCTTTTTCGTTCTTACAAAATCTCAAAGCCTCAACTCAAAAATCAAACGAAAAGGACAAGGGTGGACGGCAGGAACCCATTCAATGAAATTTCCTTTTTTATTTAAAAAAAAAAAAAGGCAGAAAGCTAAATCAATAGAAGTTGGTTTGTTGATAAACCAAAGGTTAAAGCAAATGTAAAAATGGAAGCCATGCAGAAAACTGAAGACCCTGAAAACTATTTTGGGTGGAAATCTTTTTCCAGGGCTTCAAAGCTTCAAACAGATAAGAGAGAAAAAAAATAAGAAAAGGATCAGAGAGGAGAAAGAAAGAGTCGGTTGGGGGTTGTTGTTGATTATGGCGTGCAGTAAAACTCAAAAAATAAACATAAAAAAGAAATTATACAACAGCTAGTAAAATAAAATATGAAAAAGAATTCTCTCCCTCTTTTTTTTTTTTTTTTTTTTAATTTGGTGAAGAGAGCTTGCTTAGCTATGGCTATGCTTTATCTGCTGCTTGGTGCTTACTTCGGTTGAAGAGCCGTTGAACATTGACAACGTGAGAAGATCCACTTTTCAGGAGACAATCTGGGTCTTCTTGATTATGACTTCTGTCATTCTTTTTTCTCCGTTGCCCCTCTTTCTCTCTTTATTTTCTTACGCTGCCATTCCTTCTTTTTCCATTCTTGCCTCTCTCTCTCTCTCTCTGCTTAACTTTTTCCAAATTGCCGATACCATCCCTTTCCTCCATCAAACTCCAAAAAATTCTTCACTTGCAATATATATCTTTGTCCATGTAAATTTTAAACAAATTAATAGAAAACTTGAGAAAAATGCAAACTTGTTCGTGGGGCTTTTAAAACTCATATGAAAAGTATAAATTGATATAGAAAGAAAATACAAGTGAATTTGCCTAAAATGTTTTAAGAATAATTAATATATTAAATGGCAATAAAATAAATACACTTAAAATGTACAAAGAAATTGGACTAAATTCATTTTGTATACTTTTATATATGAATTTGGACTAAAAATGATTTAATTACAAAATAACTTTTTTATCCTAACGAGTTTCAAAATCTAGCAAGGTATGAAGAATGGGTGATTATTCTATAAACAAATACATATTTAAATAAGAATTTATCTTTGAAACACTTATAATATAATTTTTTTAATTCTAAAAACAAAATTAATAAAGAAATATAAGAAAATTTTCACTTATTTTTTGCATTTAATTACATTACAATCGGTACATCTGCTTGAACTCTTATTTATTAGTAAAATAATATAAAAATATCATAATAAAATTATACCAATCGATTGATTGAGAACTCATAATCAATTCAATTTTTAAAATTGATAAAAGTGAATTTACACAGATCAAAATTTCATAAAAATTTTGTTAAATCAAGTTAGATTGAACCAAATTAATTGGATATGATGGTTTTATTATTTTATAAGTGGTATAATTTGAATCTTATCATTTTAAAGTACTAACTATAAAAACAAATATATATTTATTTATTAAATATTATCTTATTTAATATATATTTAACAACAAAACAATGCAATTAAATGTAATTAAAGCTCCAATCGAACTGTTCAATTAAATCGAAAATGAAACATTCACCCTTCCATTGTTATTATTAAATTTTTTTTATTATATTAAAAGATAAAATCTTAATATAAATAAAGACAAAGCCCTTTCACCCCACGTTCTTATTATTAAAACATTGAGTGAAAGTATCTTAGAATTTTTTTATAAAAATAACATGCTACTGCTTGTTCAAAGTACAAAAAACCACAACAGGGCAGTATGGTAAAGTGGGCCCTAAACATAAGAATGGACAATAACGTCATTTCGGACAGCAAAAGGGGCAAAGCAAAAGCCTTAGTGGGAGGGGATGACGTTGCAACAGAAAAAAGGACACGAAGATAGGACAATGAACAATCAAAGGCAAAGTAAAAATTTTTATTAAAAAAGGGGAAATTTTCATTGCATTTTGCTGCTGCGTTCTTTAGAGCTTTCCTTTTTTTTTTTTTTTCTTGTTTTCGTGATATCGGGAAGAGCGCAATGGAGAGTGGGGCCCAGTGGTGACGGTGGTATCCGTGAGCGTGTCGGACATTTGCCGTATTGGTAAGGTCCTCTTCCGTATACGGTCCTCGCATTCTTTTACAATATTATTTTTCTTGATTTTTGTGCCTCTCATAAATATTTGTTTTAAGGCCCACCCGCTGTTGCAAAACGCGTGGCACACCTTCCTCCAGGACTTCTGGGGAGGGCTGGGCTTGCCATTAAACGAGCTGGGTTAAGGTTGGCGTATCCGCTCCACAACCGGCAAATATTGGGACAATCTTACCATTGCTGCTTGCTTGCCTTGCTGGATCTAACCTGTTAATCTCCATTTTGTTTTATTTTTTTAGATTAGATTTCGAAACCCCATTTTTGCCTTTGGTCGGGTTGAATGGTTGTTGGAAATTGAAATTATTAAAAAACTTCAAACCTTCGCTTCCATACAATATTTCATTTCCAATTTTCTTATTAGTGCTAAATTTAGTTTAACGAACCAACCAAATTGTGTCATTAGTTTTGGCAAACAAGCAATTAATCAAGCAAGTATATTTTTAAAGGTATTATAAAAAAATGTAAAAACATTTACTATTTAATTTCTTTGTATTTTACATGATTTTTTTTTAAAGGATAAAGTCATTTTTAGTGTTTCTTTTACAAAAAAAAAAAAAAAAAAACTACAATCTAGAAATAAAAAAATTTTAAATATTAAATTTTAAAATTTCAAATATATTAATTTTTACCTGTTAAAAATAATTGGGTGAATCAATTATTATTCTTTAAAATCCATTCCTCTCTTTAAATGCACCCTAAACATGGGATGGGATATCATTAAAGACTATATTTGTTATTGTATTACGTGTTAATATTAAATTTTATCATTATATTTTTAATTTCAATAAATTTGGGTATTAACTTTTTTAATTTTGTTGATTTTTTTTATAAAAGAAAATAATTTTGACAATAATTTGCCATTCTTATCAACAAAATAGTGTTATTTGTATAAAAAATAAAAAAATTAAATGTATAATAATAAGGTTTATAATGCCGAAATTCAAAACTAAATCAAAATATAATTGATAAATTGATCTTAATTCCAAGATTCAAGATCCAAGAAAAAGTTTGTTTTGACGTAGAAGATCAAAATTGAATTATTAGTTTACAAAAGTTTGGATGATTAATTAGGATGAATGGTTTATAGATACAAAGTGTACGGTGTACCACAGAGCTGACAATTTTAAAAATAATACAATAATATGATATAAAAATAATATAAAATATTATTATTAAAATTATTAATATTTAAAAATAATTATATTTTAATAATAACATTTAATATTAAAATATTTTGTTAATATAAAAAATACTTAAAATAAAACTATTTATTATAATATTATTTATATATTATATTAATAGTATATTATTTATTAATAATATTATTTAGTAATATATTATAATATTATTTATTTATTAATATAATATTATTTATAAGTAAAATTATACTAAAAAATATTAATAAATAGTTTTACTCTTAAATAATTTTTTTTAAAAATATGTCTTTTCTTTTTCAAATATGTAAGATAAATTTTAAAAAAATAGTTTTACTTTTCATTAACCAACCAATTTTCTATTAAATAAATATCTGAAAATACGAAAATTATTTTCAAAAATCATTTTTTACGAAACAAATGAAATTTTATCTTGTAAATTTTTTTCTCAAAATTATATTTTTTAACATTTAAAATTTTTTATTTTTATATTAAAAATCATAAATTTTAATTTTATTTTAAATTTTAAATTTTAATATTAAATATATTAAAATCAAAATTTTTTATTTAATTAATAACATTCAAATAATTTGGAATGAAAAAAAAAAGCAAGTAACACTAAAAAAGCTGAACTTTTTCTGACACACTTCATGAAACTTGAATCGGACATTGCAGTCAAAACTCAAGACTCAAGTGTACCCCTTCCCGCTCTATGCGTTACTTGCCTTTTGTTGAAATTAAAGCTTAGTTCGAATGTTTTTCAAACTTTTCTTTATCATAAAGCCTAATGCACCTCTGTTTAAATACCCCAGAAAAGTATTCTATAAAGAATAAATCACTAATCTATTAGCTGTATAAAGCCGAAGGTTATCTTAACCAAAATAAATAAGGCCAAACATATTCACACACCGCACATGCGTGCTGCTTCTACATATGCTACCTCCATATCGCATCTACCCTTACCAAAAACGGTCAACTATTTTTATATTCATCAATGAATTTTAGGAGATTGCACGATTTAATGTTAGGGTTTAATTTTTTTAACATTTTTATCAAAAATAGATTCAAATATGGTTCATTAAGATTTCTTAAAAAAAAATCATTAAGTAGACCTGTTTACTTGTTTTTGGATTAGATCAAACCAAATTCGATTGAAATTTAAAAAATTTTATCCAAAACTTGAGACAACCTAATATATGGAGTTCAGATACATAAATACAAGATGTCACTAATCTAATAAATGACGTCTTAATTTGAATATAAGGAAAGTGATTAGATACTGACAGCGTTCCTTTAGTATGGGTATAGGTTAAAATATGAAGCCAAGTCCTCTAATTAAAACAATGATAGTTTTTATTTGGTGTCATATGTAAGTGACAAGTCAATATCAGAAACAAATCATCAGTTAATCTGTCATGTAATGTTTGAAGATAATATATATATATATATATATTTAGTGTTGAAAGAAGAGCTTAATGATTCAAACAGACCAACCTTTATGCAATCTTATTGATTCTAATCTTCCATAATTTTAGAAACATGCACATGCAAAAGCAAATGGTGAATCGCTATGTTTTTGAATTGGACAAAACGATACGTCTCCACGATTCTATGATTAGATGGAGAGCTAAATAATTTAATTTAATTTACTATTATAGTACAGATTATCCCCTAATCCGTACTTAATCACGGTAGTTGGTAGATACTTGAAGCATAATTTTAAAATAATAATTGTGACAGTGGCTTTTAGGTGTAAGGTTGACACCCATATAATTATTAATTTTACAGTAAGATAATGGACATTCTAAACCTAATTTTAAGGTACGTATAATTAAAGTAAAAGTTGTTATTTTATACACTGATCTTTTCTATTTTCAATTTTACATTGAGTATAAATTTTACATTTGAATGTACCTAATTATTTATAATTAATTTGGTTATGAGACATGATAGCAAAGCAAGATGAGAAGAGATGGTGGTGTTATATATATATGCACTAGTTATGGCAACAATGCAAAATGGAGAAGAAAGAACTTATCTTTAAGTAAGATACTTTTAGAAAATTTTTTTAAGGATAACAGTCTCTCTAATACGATGTAAATAAACTTTTAAAAACGTTATTTGCAAGATATAATAACTAAATTGAAGAAGAATTTAATTGCATTTCAATTCTTCTTGTACTTACCTGAACCAAAACCAGACTATATAGTGCAAGAAGGAAATCTAACTTTTGATCTTGAAAGAATGTAAAGTTTTATGAAAATGAATGTCTATGGATGTATTTATTAGCCCCAATTAGTGTTAGAAACACTTTTTCATGTATGGGCATCTTTTGGATAAAGAATTATTTCTGAAAAAATAGTCCAACATATATAATTTTTGAATTTCTAGAAAAGACATTCAAATGTCTGACAATAGTACTCGAATTTTCTAGGCCATTTTTCAAATAGAAAGCACAACTCTATAAGTATTCAAATACTTTATGAAAGCATGTGAATACTCTAGTTAATTTCTTAAACAGAACTGAAAATCTTTATGGGTATTCGGATGCTCCCTGAGAGTATTCTAATGCTCTAGTTAGTTTCCAAAGCAGAAAGAAATTCTTGTTTGGGCATTCGATTGCCCTTCTCAAGATTTTTTTCATACTCTCAAAACAT